TACACACACACCAGGGAGAAAATACATGTAAATCTCAAACTGACTTCACACTGGCATCTTTTTTCTCCTTGCCTCAAATATTTAAATACCTTTGTACCTTTAACAATGTTTTCATTTATCATCCATTGAAAGTCACTGGTAAATTGCTACAGTATATGTCATGGCAGTATTCCACACTCTACTCTCTCATTATATATCTCAAATTTTGTTTTTCCTCCTTGCATGTAACACAGTTTAATGGACTGTCTAGCTGATTCATTAGGTAGTTCAACAAATATTTTTCCAGCATGTGGTTATGGACTACTAACTATATGCTAGACATTGTTCTAGGCACAGTGAGAAAAATAAAAATTAAAAAAAAAAAATGAAGATATCCTTGTCCTATGCAGTTTACATTCTAATTAGGAAAGTATTACATCATTCCTATATTCTGTGTCCCACAGTAGAAAATGCCTCCTAACATTTGAACTGCTACTTTTATCACCCTCTAAGTCTTACGTCTTTTGCATAAATGTCTCTCCCTTCTTTATTTTTCAGAAAATAGCAATAGGTTATTAACTTAATGTTTTAATCACGTCTCTTTCAAAGTGTGATTTCATTTTCTTTTTATTTGCATATTTTCTTTTCTTTTTTTTTTTAAAGATTTTATTATTTATTTGAAAGAGAGAGAGACAATGAGAGAGGGAGCACAGCAGGGGAGGTGGGAGAGGAGAAGTAGGCTCCCTGCCGAGCAGGGAGCCTGATGTGAGGCTGGATCCCAGGACTCTGGGATCATGACCTGAGCCAAAGGCAGACTCTTAAGGACTGAGCCACCCAGGCACCCCCATATTTTGTTTTCTAATCATCCCTTCTTATCCACCTTCACCTTTGCTGTTTCTTCCTTCCTAACCAGACTTTTCTGGCCCTGCTAAAAGTATAAGTTACCCCGTCTAATATCTGCAGCATCTCCTCTCCTTTTCCTTCCCAACTTTCTGCATGATGGCTTCTGTCTCTGCTGTTCTGCCATCTTTTCACAAGGTGTTTTTGGCTAACAGAAAAATGCACCACTCAGATTCCCCTTGAAGAAAGGATTTGCTATCCGAGGAAGAGTTTGACTACCCAACAGCCTCAAACCCTTAGTTCCTTTAAGGTCTGTCTCAGCTTTTGAGCAAAGGACATGGCCTTTTGGGGGTGTATCAGTCCAATTACTGAGTGAGTCACCTATATGAAGGCCTAAACTTGATGGGTAATCATCAAGTAATCCAAGTAGGAGTACTGTTTGCTCTGGAGCTTCCTGGCTCTGGAGCAACCCTTCTGGATTGGCAGAAATTCTGTCAGGTCTTTATTACGGTCCTATGCTCCCTTTCCCAATCTTGTTTCCTCTTTCACAGCTGTTACTCCCTGAAAAACCTTTTGCTCTATAACTCTTCCTCAGCATCTGCTTCCTGGAGAACACAAATGGGAATGTTCATCACTGACTCATTACCACCAAAACAATAATCACCTTCTCAGTTCTCATTCTGCTTGACCTCTGAGTAGCATTTGAAATTTCTAATATTCCAAATATTCTATTTTATTTTATTCGTAGTCACCCTAATACCTTCTAATTCTTACTCACCTTAACATTTGTTAGTGTGACTTCAAATCTGGATTCTTTTCTTCTAATCTCCAAATCCTCTGTGTTGACCACAAGTCTATTTTGGACCTCCTCTTTCTTTCCGCTCATTTCTCTTAAATGATCTTAGTCACTCTTTCTCCTTCAAGTTCCTTTTTTTTTTTTTTTAATGTGTTTATAGGTTGATATATTTCAGTTCAAGCTCTGGGAGATCAGGCACCATTTCCAACTGATCACCCAATGTCTATACCTGCTATTTCACAAGTATCTCTAAGTCAACATCTTTAGCTGAATGTGTTATTTCTTTGTTTGAATCTGCAGCTTTCAGAACTGGTGCCACTCTCATCCAGTGGCTTAGTCATCTTCACAATTTCATCAACCTCCATAATAAAATATTTAATAAACTGACTTTCCTTCCAAAATCTCTCTCTGATATTTCTACTACTTTTATTTTTCTACACACTCAAATCCTGAGGATGTAGACATTTTTGGCCTAAACTACTGAAAATACCCGTTAGCTAGCCTGTTGCTTCTAGTCCTCATCTTTTCAATCCCACCACACCCAAACTATTACAAGTTATTCCAATACAAAAATCCACATTTATTTGCCTCCAAATTTTTGGATTTTTTAAAAATTATTTAATAATAAAGTCCTAAAACGCACTAATGTCCTTATGAATCATTCACTCACCTGAGTATGACTTACATCTCAAATGTCACAGCCACCTCTAAGCTCACTTGATAACTGTAGAGGAAACAAAATTATCTTAGCTATATTCTGAGAGACTTTTGAATATGCCGGTAACAGAATTTTTCTTTCTAGTTGTGTCCTAGTTTGCATGTTTAGTTTTCTGTTAGTTTCTGAGGTAATTGGAGACATGGATGTTGTCACATATATTTTGGTATCTGTCTAGTTGGCCCAGGCTTGTAATAAGCATGTAAAAAACAACTGTATTACATTTAAATAATTTGAATGTCTATAAATTATACTCACTAAAAATGAGCAGTCAATACCAACAATGGAAATACAGTAATGAAATTAAATAATGAATATATATTTCTCCTTTTGGTTTCTTGACCGAACAAGAATGATTTTTAGTAAAGCCATGAACATTTTAATACTTATCATGCCTTATGTGACATATATATCAGACTTCGAAAATTTGGTCAGGTTATAGACAACCAGAAAGAAATTTTACTTTAAGAGCAACATAATTGGGGCGCCTGGGTGGCTCAGTTGGTTGAGCAGCTGCCTTCAGCTCAGGTCATGATCCCAGCGTCCTGGGATCGAGTCTCATATCGGGCTCCTTGCTCGGCAGGGAACCTGCTTCTCCCTCTGTCTCTGCCTGCCTCTCTGCCTACTTGTGATCTCTCTCTCTCTCTCTGACAAATAAATAAATAAAATCTTTAAAAAAAAAAAAAAGAGCAACATAATTAATCCCGATACGCTAATTACATTGTTTCATATATTTTGGCAAAAAGATAAAAATAATAATATTAAGGTAGATAGAAATAATCAAATGAGTATTATACAATGTGCTTCCCAGCAAGAATAAATGATTAGGTTATAAACACTTTAGTGAAATATGCAGAATTACTATTTTGAAGTTGAATTTCTTCTGTTGTCATTGTTACTTGTAAGAATATTTTCTTGATAGACACCAAAGTTAGATTTTGGAAAAGCATGAAGAAAGAATATATATTTGAATTTTTAAAAAGATTTTATTTATTTATTCGAGAGAGAGAGAGCCAGAGAGAGAGAGAGAGAGATCACAAGTGGGGGAACAGAGGGAGAGGCAGGAGCAGACTCCCCGCTGAGCAGGGACACCCCCCACCCTCAGTGTCGGACTGGATCCCAGGATGCTGAGATCATGACCTGAACCAAAGGCAGACATTTAACTGACTGAGCCACTGGAGCACCCCAAGAATATATATTTTTAAAAGGCTAGCTTTCTCCATTTAATATTTTTTTCTTTTACAGACAGAAAAAACAATCATTTGGTTTTGTGGATAAATATTATATGTAAGGAATGCAAGCAAAAGCGTTCCATAGAAGGACAGCTCAAGAATTGTCTGGTAGGGACCTTTGGTGACTCAGCCAGTTGAATATCAGACTCTTGGCTTCCCTGATCTCAGGCTCCAGGAATGGAGTCCTACTCAAAATCCACACTCAACCTGAAGTCTTCTTTCCGTCTCTGTCCCCCAGTGCTCCTCCCTAGGCTTTCTCTCTCTGAAATAAATAGATAAAGTCTCTAAAGAAAAAAAAAATTGTCTGGGGAGAAAAGTCTTTGCAAAATGGAAATTATGCAAGTCATCAACTTACATAGTAAGCCAAAAAATGAATGTTCTTTCCAAATTATTCTCTTGCGAGTGTGAATGTCATACTGATGGAGAAAAAGTTTACATTTAACCTTCCACCAGCCACAGATTTTCCTAGGAAGCCAAGTTATACACAATGGAATAAATAAATAATGGGAAAATAAAGTTGTTCTTATAGGATCATTTCACAATTGTGATTTGTGTTTTGGATTTTTTTTTTTTTTTAAATTTCGGCCTGGTATTTAAATTGCAATTTCATTAAAACACATACATACATCCATTACATATTCAGCTTTATATTTAGTTTCCTTAACCAAAGAATTTTCTATTTTTTTTAAAGATTTTATTTATTTATTTGTCAGACAGAGAGAGAGAGAGCGAGCGAGCGAGCGAGCACAGGCAGACAGAGTGGCAGGCAGAGGCAGAGGGAGAAGCAGGCTCCCCACAGAACAAGGAGCCCGATGTGGGACTCGATCCCAGGACGCTGGGATCATGACCTGAGCCGAAGGCAGCGGCTTAACCAACTGAGCCACCCAGGCGTCCCTCCTTAACCAAAGAATTTTCTAAGAAACAAAGTTATTTACCACAGAATTGGTTTAGTACTATATGGTGAATTGCCATTTTCAGTTTTCCTTCCCCACAGTAATTTGGCTATTGCGCCAGAAAACCATGACGTGGACTATTAACATTGCCAAGGTCTTCACCAGCAAATGGCCCATCTGCAGAAGAGAAAATGCACTTTACGATCCTTACATCATCCCTGAATGCGTTTCCAGTGTCTGCGTTTTGGAAAATAAAGCCCAAGCCTGTGAAGGCAGTGGGACCGAGTGGCGAGAGCCTCCACGCGCGCCTCCCTGCGCGCCACAGCGTGCGGTGGGTGGGCGTCGGGGGCTGCGTTTGCGGCTGCGAGGGCGAGTCAGCCCAAGAGGGCGGGGTGGGCGAAGCAGCCGCTCTGCGTCCCCCCCGCCCGCTTCGCGGGAAACCGTGCGGACCCCAGCCTCACCCGCCGCGAGCGCAGGGCCCCGCGAGAGCGGTCACCGTTAAGCAGCCAACAGCCATCACCGTGGCAAGACCTGCAGGCCGCGCAATGCTGTCTCTCCTGCTGATCCTCTCAGGTCTGGGCCGGCTGACCTCCGCGGGCCCTCGTGAGTGAAGGACCCTTCCCCATAAAGGGCCACCTGTCGCAGAGCCTCTCTCTGGGCGTGGCGGGCCCCAGAACCTTGCTCCAGAACCCCGGGTCCGGCAGGGGAGAGCCCGGTGTCTTGTCACAGCCCACTTAGAGTCAGCATCCTCCTGGGCCTGCTTCTTGGAGAGCTTGGAGCAGGACAGGGACAGTTGCCCCTCACTTGCCTGACCCTGAACTTGGAGGAGACGGTGCGCATCTTCTGGGAAGTGGGGCCGTAAAAGCAGCACTTTTTCATCTGCTGGGTCTGAGGTCAAGTCCCAAAGTCTCTGGATGGTGGTAGGGTCCTGCCCCAAACTGTATGGGTGGTGGAGGTAGCCTCTTCCTGTCATGTACAAAGTCTGATTTTGTGGCGGGTGAGTGAGTGCCTGTGTGTGTGTGTGTGTGTGTGTGTGTCTGTGTGTGTGTGTATGTTGGGGCTTGGAAGTTCAAAGAGTGATGGGATGTGACGGGACGCGGGAAGAAGGATGCTGCCAGGCACTAGGCAGCGCTCACACATGTTTTCCTTACTGTAGATCTTGAAACATCGCTTCTACAAATTACAGTGCCACGGAAGATTGAGACAAATACCAGTGATGGTGAAATTTCGGAAACGCATGTAATTAAGAAGTCACTTTTTTTAATAAATGTTTTACTTTTACCGGACTAAAATGTATTTATTACTTATAAAATTTATTTTTACTGACCAAATCAATTCATACATATATCTCTTAGAAATTTTGTGCTCTAATTACTGTGTTAGAGTCCTTTCGTCTGAATGAAAGTGATAATTTTTTCATTCGTTAAGTAATATATGAACATTATGAAATTACTTTAAAACACAGACTCAGTAAAAAAAAAAAAATGCCCCAAATCTCTATCACACAAAATGATATATATAGTCACTGGACTATTTGTTTGGAAAATAGGGACATTTAAATATTCTTTGAAAGTGAGGTCACAATAAAATATATCTTGTAACATGATTTTACAATGATAATATATAAACTCCTTCATGCCCATATTTGAGTATATATATATACATAATATAAATCTTTGTTAAAAGGAAAGCACTGATATTTTTAATCTGATTAAATAAAACATACATTGTGAAATCTAGATAGCACAGAATGTTTTTTAATGGTGACGCTCTTTTCATATCAGAGTGTTTTTTATGAAAGATTCATTAAATGTAATTTCTGTGATGTCTCTATGATGCATATAATATATGCCATTAATTATCTTTATTTATACTTTACATTTTTATTTAAATTCCAGTTAACATACAGCACAATATTAGTTTCAGGTGTTCAATGTAGTGAGTCAACACTTCCATGCAGCACCTGATGCTCATGGCAAAAGTGCCCTCCTTAATTGCTATCACCTATTTAACCCTACTGGTAACCATCAGTGCTCTACAATTAAGAGTCTGTTTCTTCCTTTGCCTCTCTCTCTCTCTTTTTTAAATCCCTTTGCTTTTTTTGTTTCTTAAATTCCACATATGAGTGAAATCATGTGGTATTTGTCTTTCTCTGATTGACTTATTTGCTTAGCTTGATCTAGCTCCATCCATGTCCTTGAAAATGCCAAGATGTCATTCTTTTTTACAGCTGAGTAACATTCTGTGTGTGTGTGTGTGTGTGTGTGTGTGTGTGTGTGTGTGTGTGTGTGTGTGTGTATACACACATATAATGGAATATTACTCAGCCATGTATTTTTAAAATTCATTCTTTAATTTCCTGGTTGGCCCATTCATTGCTTAATAGCATGTTCTTTAGCCTCCAGGCATTTGTGATGTTTCCAGATTTTTTTCTGGTGATTGACTTATAATTTCATAGTGTTGTGCTTAGAAAAGGTGCATGATGTGATTTTAGTCTTTTTGTATTTGTTGTGACCTGACTTGTGACCTAGTGTGTGATCTATTCTGGAGAATGTTCCGGGAGCACTTGAAAAAAATGTGTATTCTGCTGTTTTAGGATGAAATGTTCTAAATTTATCTGTTCAGTCCATCTTGTCCAGTGTGTCTTTCAAAGCCATTGTTTCCTTGTTGATTTTCTGTTTAGTTGATCTGTCCATTGGTGTGAGTGTGATGTTAAAGTTTTCCACTATTATTGCATCATTATTAGTTCCTTTATGTTTGTTATTTTATATATTTTTGTGTTTCCATCTTAAGTACAGAAATATTTATGATTGTTATATCTCCTGTCAGATTGTATCCTTTATGATGATATGGTGCCCTTCTTTGTCTCTTGTTACAGTCTTTGTTTTAAAGTCTAGTTATCTGATATATGTGTAGCTACCCTGGTTTTCTTTTGACGTCTATTGGAGTGACAAAAATTTCTTCATCCCCTTTTCTTCTGCAGGTGTCTTTAAGGCTAAAAATGAGTCTCTTGAAGGTTCTATATAGATGGTCTTGTTTTATTATCTATTCTGATATCAATTTTAAACAATATTTGGTTTGTTTACATTCAAAGTAATTATTGATAGATATGTATTTATTTCCATTTCATTATTTTTGTGTTGTTTCTGGTGATTTCTCTGATCCTTTCTTGTCTTTGTCACTTTTGGTCTCTCCTTTGCACTCAAAGAGTTCCTTTTAATATTTCTTGCAGGCCTGGTTTAGTAATCACAAATTCTGGGATAGTCTTTATCTCTGCTTCTATTCTGAATGATAACCTTACTGGATAGAGTATTCTTGGCTATAGACTATTCTCATTTGGAACTTTGAATATATCATGCCACTTTCTTCTGGCTTGCCAAGTTTCTGTTAAGAAATTTCCTAGCTAGCCTTATGGGCCTTCCCTTGTAAGTTAAGGACTTTTTTTGTCTTACTGCTTTTAATACTTTTTCTTTATCACTATATTTTGCAAGTTTAATTACAATATATCTTGGTGTTGGCCTGCTTTTGTTGACTTTAATGGAAGTTCTCTGTGCCTCCTGGATCTGGATGTCTGTTTCCTTCCCCAGATTTGGGATGTCTTAAGTTATTATTTCTTCAAATAAATATTTTGCCTCCTTTTCTCTGTCTTCTTCTTCTGATACTTATAGATAACACAGAGAATTGTTAAGAACGTGAATGCCCACCTCAGTTTCTAAAGATAGTAAATTTGAACAGAGTTATCTTTTAGATACAGGCACACTCCTATTTTTAATTTTTGTGATTATTTGTAGGTTTGGTATAAGTCTGTAATCTTGATATATATATTTTTATCCAAATACATTTCTTTTGACTCAGTTAGAAGTACAATATCTGCTTATAGATTACACTTATAATCATGGAGTTATTTAAATTAGTAATTAAATAAATTGCTAGAAAATCCTATTAGTCAAAGTTTTTATTATTTAAGTTTATTTATTTATTTATATATATATTAAAAGAGAGAGGGAAAGGCGGGGAGGGAGAAAGACAGCAGAGAGAGGAGAGATAATTTAAGCAGGCTCCACACTCAGCCTGGAGCCTGAAGTGGAGGTCGATCCCAGGACCCAGAGATCATGACCTGAGCCAAAATCAAGAGTCCAACTCTTAACTGACTAAGCCACCCAGGTGACCTGGTTTTAAATTTTTAGACAAAATTCAAGGAAGCATGATGTGTCCTTTTCAGAGACTGGAACACAGAATAGAACATAAGTTAACTAATCCTTCCAATCATTTAGTAATTTTTAAAAATATTAATGTACCTTTGACATGGAACAAATAAGGTATGAGAAAAGGAAATTATAGGTCATTTCACTTAATTAAATATTTAAAAAGTGAAAGTAGCAAATAATTGTAGAACATTATGACCAAGTAAATTTTCTCCTGTGTTGAAGGGTGTCTTAGTAGTAGAAAAATAAGCTGGTGCAACTATAGTTGTATCAGATAAAGTTAAAGAAGCACGTCAAGAGATGAAAGGTACCTTAATGACAATGCAATCAATCTATCCTGAAGATACCACCATACTAAATCTGTTTGTACCTGAAAACAGAGCTCTAAAATATGTAAGGCCAAAAATTACAGATTAAAAAAATTAAAATTAAAAAAAATTATCACAATACTTTGGGGAGATGTCAACTACATTTTTAATATCTGTAAACTTACAGAAGACTGAACATGAGAAAGTTTAAAATGACTTTTGCAGAAAACGGTACCCGATGACAAAATTCACATTCTTTGCAAATGTGGAAAATTTACCTACATTGACCATGTGCTATGCCATGAAGAATGTGTATGTTTTATGATGTCACAGATTGGGTTCTTTAGGATGCAGTCTTTGAGAAGATTCCTGTGAAGCCTTTTTATTAGGTTATGGTCTTGTGATGAACCCCTGTGAAAGGGGAGGGGAGGAAGGGGGAAGGGGTGACAGAGACTCAACCGAGTCTCAACAAAGTGTGGAGCTAGCATGGCCCTTCAATATCTGGAGTTGGGATGAGGGGGTTCCCGTTAAATGTGGGCCGTCTCAGAAAGTTGTGACTCGGTGTGAGGTGACCCTCTGTAGCTGAGGCGATTCCTGAAGAAGACTGGGAGATGAAGAGTGTTCTTACAGTTAGGGATACTTTCTTTAATCTGGAAGGGGGACCTGTACTGTATTCTTTCCCTCTTCTTTTCAGCTTCATTATTCTCCATAATTTTATCTTCTGTACCATTTAATCATTCCTCTGCTTCTTCCATCCTAGTAGTCATCACATCCTCTCAGTTTCAAATCTTGGTTTATTACATTTTTCATTTTGGCCTGACTAGTTTTTAGGTCTTTATTTCTGTGGTAAAGGACCCCTGGGTGTCTTCCATGCTTTTCTCAAGCCCAGCTAGTATCCTTATGATTGTTGCTTTAAATTTTGGATCAGGTCTATTATTTATATCTGCTTTGATAGGATCCCTGGCTGTGACCTTTTCTGATTTTCTTCTTTGGGGATGAATTTCTCCTTCTTGGCATTTTCTCTAGGTCTCTGTCTTCTTCTGTGTGTTAGGAAAACCTGTCAGGTTTCCTGCATCCTAAAAGTAATGGTTTTATGAAGAAGAGGTCATACACTGTCCAGGGCCTGGTGTTTCAGGAAGTGTCTCTGGGGTATGCTGTGTGCACTCTGCTGCTGCTGTTTGGCTGCTCTTTCCCTCAGGTCAGTCTTCTGTAGAGTTTCTCCTTGCCTGAGGAGGATATTCGGACCTTGGCCAGAGTGCGTCAAGTTTTAACCAGGTGTGCTCTTGTTTGCTTGTTAAACGAGACCTGAGAGCTAAAGTTTTACAGAACTCTATGGTCAGTAGACGTGGTGTGTGCAGGGGTTTGTCCTGGTCTTTTTGGGGAGGGACCTGTTGCTCTGGTTCTCAGGTACACTTGCCTGAGAAAAGCCGTACCTGCAGAGGGCAGAGGTATGGGGCTTGATGTAAGAATTTTAGGTAGTCAGTGTTGATGGCATGCTGCTTGTGAAGTTAGTTTATGCAGGAGAGAGAAATGACACCATCCAGCTCCCTCGTCCCTGGAAAGGGGAGTTCACACTTGCTGTTCCCTGGGAAGTCTTCCCAGAAGAGCAAACAGTCTCCCCTCATGTGTCCCAGGCATTCCTCAGATTGTTGCCTTCACCCTGTCTGTGTTGGCCTCGGGCATGACTGACAGCATAGTGCATCTTGGGCTCTGTCCCAGGCAGGCTGGCTGAATTTTAAAACTCCAAACTTTAGGGACCTGGGCTGGTGTGGACCCATGCTGGTCCTCTGGGGGCAGGGTCTCACTGTTCTGGGACTGGTGCAGGTTCATCCCAGAAAGGCAGTCACAACAAAGCACAGGGGCACAGAATTTGGAGTAAAGTGCAGCAAAGGGCCAGTGTCCAGGATGGGCGCCTTCAACAGGTGACTCTGCATAGATGAGGGGCAAGGGAAGGTAATAATGCTCATTGGCTAGGGGCAATGCCGCCTCTCCCCAATACACTCCAAGAAGTGGGAATGGTCTCTTTCAGTGCATCCCAGGGATCCTCAGATCATGCTGTGTTTCCCTGAACTATTTGGCCTCCTTCTCCACAGGAGCACTGCGCACCCTCAGGGCTCCACACCTGCCACACCGGTAACTCTAAAACTCTAGTCTTTGAGCCCCCCTGGTTGTAAAACCTGAAAATCAGCCCCTCTCATTTTCCCATTCAATGGCTTTGGGGAAATATTTTCCTTGTGCTATCCCCTGTGTGCTCCTCTCCCTCTCTTGGCTCTCCCTGTGGCCAGGGCTCCCTCCCCTCTGCAGTACCTGCAGTCTGTTTTTCCCCTAAACCATGTCTTCCCACCTTGTACCTTCCACAATGTGGCCCCTTCTCTCTAGTGCAGTCCTTGGATTGATTTCTTGGGTATGCAAAATGATTTGATAGTTATCCATTTGTGTTCAGGGGTCCTCCTACTCCGCCATCTTAGCTCCCCACGACCTGTGCTGTATTCTTTAATTTTCAATTTATTTGGGCTAGAAATTGGAAAATACAAAAAGATAATTCAAGTTTCTTCAAAGATTATATCAAAATGTAACCATTTTAAATTAAAATTTCACTATGATAGTAAAGTCTAATGACTGATGCTTTTAATTTAGAAATAGATTTAGACTCCTTGATTTTATTTACATTGAATTATGATTAATTCTGTCATATATTCCAAGATTGAAGAAAGACAGCAACATACATGTACATATAATTTTGAGATGTGTGATACCATCTGTTTACATGATTGAGTACTTAAATTTAAGAAATTATTAAGAACTTTAGATTTCTATTAATTACTTTCTCTTTGAATACTTTGCTGTAGGTCACTTATACCATCCAAATTGACAGGAAAACATATACTTTCCATCTTAAAAAACAGTAAGTGGCCAGTTTTCTTTTCATTCACTTCTCTTTTGTTTGTTTGATTTTTACGATTACTACTCTACGTTGAGCCTAAACAAGAGCTTGGCTATTGTATTTATTTAACATGTATATCTTTGTGATTTATGACAGATTAAAATTTTAAGTCTTTATCTTGAGATTTCAAGTCTAATATTGGAGCCAAATTCTAATTTAATGATATGGCTATTAATGTATATTAGATAAATTAAAATTATTCTATGTAACTCCTTGAAATATAACCATAATAACAATAATTAAGGGAAAAAATTTATTTGTACATGTTTAATTTTGTTCATTTTCATGTTATTTTACATACATATGTGACTTTAAGCATTTTACTTGGTATTGGACCATTTTTTTCTCATCTTGGTATAATATATAATTTAATCTCTTAAATTTTCTGCTCTTTACTTTTGCTCTTTGCGGAAACCAGCAATAATCTTGTATGTATATTTCCACCATTTTCTAAATTTCATCTTTCCCTTAGATAAAACGTATAGAAACTGATCAAAAATGTTTGTTTTTACACAATTGGAAATACTGTTTTGCCACTGACAGGTGTTATTTAATAATGGTGTTTATTTTCTTACCCTGTGTATATATTTTAAATCATTTTCAATAGATAATTAATAGATTTAATAGATGTAATAGATAATAATAATTTAATAGATAACACATAGTGTGTAATATTTTAAGATCTGATTTTAGTTCCAAGAATTATCACTATAGAATCCTTCAATAAACATCTTGTTTGTATGTCCTTATGTAATAGAGATTTTGTTCTCTGGGCTCAATATCAAGAAATGGGTTTCTGAATTAAGAATTATGAATAACAGTAATAATAGTAATAGTAATAATAACAATAACAACAAAAGTAACTGACATTTGTAGGGCATATACCGATTGCCAGGCATATTTCTTTCTTTCTTTTTTTTTTTCTGTTTAGAGAGAGAGTGTACAAATGAGTAGGGGGGCAGGGAGGGACAGAGGGAGAGGGAGAGAGAGAATCTTAAGCAGGCTCCATGCCTAGCTTGAAGCCCAACATGGGGCTTGACCTCTGAGATCAAGACCTGAGCCTAAATCAAGAATTGGTCACTTAACCAACTGAGTCACCCAGGCCTTCCTTGTCAGGCAAATTTCTAAGCAATTTGCATGTAGTAACTGATTTAATTTCACAGCAACATTCTTAGAGCCTCTTCTGTTATCAACATGCCCACAAGAGCAATACATTTGTTATAATTGATGACCCTTCATTGACACATCATTATCACCCAAAGTGCATAATTTATATTAGTCTCAAATTTTTATATTAACTTTTTTCTTTTTATTAAAAATAAAAAAGGAACATTCTGAGAATCATATAAACTATTAGGTTTTCACCATGAGTGACACACATGTAAGCATTTTGTTTATATATTTTTCTAAATGTATACATTGTAGGTGATAGTGAAATCTATTATTCCCATGCCCAGACATATTCAGTTCTTTCACTCCCCAGTGCTAATCACAATTATGATACTGACACATACTCTTCTATCATATTTTCCCTTCATTCATCTGTATGCCTAGAGATTAATAAGAATATCATGTTTTCAGTATTGTCTTAAATAGACTTAAATGGCATAATACTCCTCTATATAATTTATTTATCTTAGTATGGTGGACTACTAAAGTGACCCAATTCTTTCTCTCTCCCTGTATCTTCACTCTTTGCCATATAATTTGAGTTCCTATCATCAAGAGGTGGAAAATTTACATCTTCCCCAGCCTCCCCACTCCCTAGCTCTTGGATCTGAGTTTATCTATACAAAGCCAACTTCATGGGTACATGGGTTCCTCAGAGTCCCATTGTTAGAAATGCCCTGTATGTTGCTGCCATGAGAGTCTTAGGGAAGACTGGGAAAAACAAACACACAAACAAACAAACAAACAAAAAAACCCAAAAACCTCATAGTTTCATTTCATCACAGGCCCCGCAAATCATGTAGCCCATTATTCTATGGGTATGTCACTTATTTTGGCCAAAAAGATGTTAGCTGACTTGATTCAAACACAGGTTTGAAAAAGCTCTCCTTCTTTCTTGGTCTCCATCTTGTTTCTCTGCCATCCCCCTGAGTATATGCTTGGGCCATCTTCCTGGAAGATAGAGACAGGTGGAGCACAGCCAAGATCAGCCAAACATTCAGCTGAATGAATGAATCCAGAATCCAGATGAATGAATGAATCACTCAACATTCAACTGAATGAATGAATGAATCCCAGACCATTGAGCAAGATGGGCCACCATTAGCAGAACAATTATTACTACTCACTCATGACCCAGAAAGTGAGCAGTAGATATTTATTATGTTATTGTATGTGGTTCTGGCTTTGGGGTTGTGCTTTTGGTACAACACTTTGTATAGTATATTTTGAGATTCATTCATATTGATGTGTACAAAATAAGTTCATATATTTTAAATACATATGTAACTATCAAGTATATCTCATTTATTATTTATTCACCCATATTTATGACAGGAAAAGGTGTATTGTGGGTATCCTGGGCGCCAGTGAAATTGATGGGTTATAAATGATGCAATTCTCAGGATGCTATATTCTACCCATTTTTACTTGAGGATTTATACCAGTTTTCATTCACACCAATCATTCAAAAACATTGCTTTTCTCTATATTCTCAATAAAACTAGTATCTTCAGTTATTTATTTTCACTAACAGATTAGAAATGGTATTGTATTGTGTTTTTTTTTTAAATTTTTTGATTAACATATAATGTATTATTTGTTTCAGGGGTACAGATCTGTGATTCATTAGTCTACACCATTCACAGCACTCACCATAGCACATACCCTCAGCAATGTCCATCACCCAACTACCCCATCCTACCCACTCCCCTCCCCTCCAGCAACCCTCAGTTTGTTTCCTGAGATTAAGAGTCTCTTACGGTTTGTCTCCCTCTCTGGTTTCATTTTCCCCTCCCTATTGTGTTTTAATATGTGCTAATGCTTTATTCCTGTTTATTTTTAATATCTTATTTATTTAAATGATTAATTTATTTATTTGAGGGGGGCAGACAGGGAGAGAGCACAAGCAGGGGACGTAGCAAAGGGAGAAGGAGAAGCAGGCTCCCTGCTCAGCAGGGAACTGATGCGGGTCTCAATCCCAGGACCCTGGGATCATGACCTGAGCAGAAGGTAGCCACTTAATCAACTGACCCACCCAGGTACCCCTTTATTCTGTGTTAAATAATGTTTTCAATATGTTTTAATTTTTTAAGAGTAATCTTTTCAAATGTTCACTGACTATTCTAACTGAATTTCTTCCCCTCCGTTGTTTTTTTTTTTTTGGTTGGGTTTTTAGTTTTAATTTTTTCTTTTGAGTAATTTTAATCCATGGCTTATCTTTTTAAATTTTTTCTCCATGATCAGATTGTGGGAATTTTTGTTTATCTGCTCTAAATGTTACACATATGCTCCCCAGCCTATTGGTTTCCCCCTCCCCGTGTTTGTGGGATTCATTGCTATAAAAATGAAATTTTTATGTATCATTATATTCATTATTTTTATAGGTTTTCAGATTTTTCTCTTGTGTCTCTCATATTCTGAACGTGTCATAATATTTCTGTAGTATTAAAAATTTATTTTATATTTAAGATATAAATCTGAGGAGTTCAGTATTTTACAACTATATTGTGTTCTGTATTGTGTTTTCCAAGTTTTGTCACTATTTCTTTATTTGCAATTTTATGCTGACTCAGATATTGTTTATTTAATATACTTTCACATTGTTTTCTTCAGTTAGAATATGCAGATGGCATGTTTTCTGGGTCTGTACATATTTGCAAATGTCCTTTTTGTTCTCATAATTGAATAACATCTTGGCAGTGTGTAGAATTTGTGAGTCCTATTCCTTTGCTATTAATTTTTATAACATGATATAGTTAATCTTACATCAGTTTTCCAGTATGCATGTGTGGTGTTACATTAATCCTCCCTGACATATGATAAATCCCTGAATTTTTCATTTTAGTTTTAAATCTCTACACATTTTTTAAAAAATGTTGTGGAAATCTATGGTTTCATTGGGTCTTATGAATCTGCCCTCTATGGCACAGTTTTCCTTCAGCTATTTTCAAATCTTTATTTTGGCTGTGTTTTTTACTAGCAAAATAGCAAATGTGTAGCAAAATGTGTTCCCTTTATTGACTAGGACTCTATTTCTATTCTTAGCAAACAGATTCTCTTTGACACATTTATTGAATTATTTCTTTTCATCTGTCATCATTTTAGTTTCAGGGTGTCTTTTTTTTTTCTTTCTTGAAATGATCTGCTCTGAAAGATTATTAACTTTTTAAACTTCTCTTGAAATAATGATTTTTTTTAACTAATTTCTTCATTCAACTTCATTAGGAACTTGCTTTTATGTTTTGCCTTCTGCCCTTTTGTTGTTCATTTTCCTTACATTGGATGCTGTTTTTTCCATTGAGTGGTCATATGTATTTCTACTAATTCACTGATTAAGGCAGACTTTTTTGTTGTTTTTTGTAGAAGCAAAAGTATACGTTTGAGGACCCAGGGTGAATGAACTTACAAACTAAAGTTTTATGCTTTTAATTATGCTTGTCAGAAATCTGTTGAATTTCCTTTTCCTGGCAGATGCTTCTGGATTCCCATTTCCACCACCTCCATTGTCTTGCTTAGTCACTAAAATGTGGTTCTGCCCGTGGGCCAGAATCCATGTTCCAGGTACTTGCACCTAAAGCAACACAGGCCGTTTGGCATTACCCTTGAATACATGTGGAATATGAGCTGATAAATATCAGGGTTTTGTGTGTGTGTGTGTGTGTGTGTGTTTTGTTGTTGTTGTTTGTTTGTTTTGTTTTGTTTTTTGTCTGGGAAGCTCTCTAGTTTTCTTATTTGAATTAAGGAAAGGAAGAGCTGTCAGGAGTGAGAGAAGATGAAGCAGGTCTGGGAAGAGAAGTGGTGGTGAATGTGCACACTCCATGAATGCTCTAGCCCCTCTTTGCTTCTGGCTTTGAACTGCCCCTTGGTGTTGGAGTCCTTGAGAAAATGTAATCTCTCGGCAATAAATACTGTGGTCAGGTTGTTCCATAACAATCACTATCTTCTCTGTAAGAAGAGTACACTTTGGTACCATTTAGATGACTTGTCTGTAGAATTCATGCAGCTTATGAAATCTGAGCAAAGCACTAGCCTTCTGCTTCTAAATAAAGGCTTTTAGAACTACTGTATGCTTCTACAATTTCTTTTCTCCTTCTGCTACAAGAAAGATATGTTCCATGGGGTAGGAGATATGTCTTTTCCCAGGTTCCAGAATGAAGTCGGTGTGGAGCTGAGCCTACAATAAACTTGTGAAGAACATTCATTGTTGTTTCGAAGCATTGAGAATTTGGGGGTTGGTTTCACCACAGTATAATTTCATAAAAATAATAGAAAAGGCATATTTTTTTGGTTATCAATTCATGGCTACTTGTTAGCAAATAGTAACAAATTAGCAAATATTTATGCTATGAGATTTATTGATTATTGAATCTAAAAGAAAATTTTGCCATGGGAATCCGGAAGTCCTGGTTTCTAGTATACATAAATCTATGTCATTATGGTGTCCCTACTGCTCTCTGATTGTACTGCTTATTATTTTTTCTTATACAAAATGTGCTATCAGAAAGCATGTAAGATAATGGAAAGATGAGTCCATTTAATTTTTGGATTGTTGAGTTTGTAAAATTGAGAGTAAATTATTTAATATCAGATTTTATTTTTGTTACTATTACAATGAAGTATCATTACTTTCGTTGAATTAGGTCATTTTTAGACCCTCATTTCCTGGTATATGCATACAACAAATCAGGAACATTGTATCCAGATTCTTCATTTATAAAGGTATGTTTTCCTTTATGCTCTGTAGATTTACATTTTTTATATCATCAAGGTGCCATTGGCAGGAAGAAAAAGAATGCTTTCCACCCCACAGAATTATTGGGCAGTCAGAAGCCCAAGTGTAATGTGGTAACTACTTTTCATATTTGGAACTCAGGAACCTCTTATCCAAAAAGGTCTTCTAAACCATCAGAAGTATTGAGAGGGGTTTGAGAGAGAAAGAAAGTGGGTTACGGAGCTAAGAATAAGAAGCCCCTAAATACAGAACCATTTTAATTGAGATGTCATAGGACCTAAGCAGTGGAGGAAGTGGTGGAAATCACTTTGTGGAAAGACATTATAGAATGAAGTGCCTTATAGAAAGGGAGTGAGGATGCAAAAGCATATTGGGTACAGAATCTGAATAGGTTCATATGTGAAACATAGGAGTTTGCATTGTATCCCAAAATGCAGCTAGGGATCAAGAAACAGTTTTTTAAAAAATTTATTTATTTATTTATTTATTTGAGAAAGAGAGATCATGAGCAGAGGAGAAGGGTAGAGGGAGAAGCAGACTCCCTGCTGAGCAGGGAGTCCACTGAGCGATTCGATCCCAGGACCCTGGGATCATGACCTGAGCTGAAGGCTCAGCTGACTTAACTGACTGAGCCATCCAGGTGCCCAGGAGTCAAAAAAATAATTTTAAGTGTGTGAGAAAGTTAATTTTTGTTTGTTTGGTATTTATTTTGTGAGAAGAGATTGGAAAGAAGTAAATGCAAGTGAAGGGTCAGAATCTATTGCTATATTGCAATTAAGAGATAATGAAATAAAAAATAAAGTAACTAGTACAACATTGTCTTTGTCAGAATCTGCAAGTAGAAAGCAGAACAAAATGCATGAGACATGTGTTTGGAGACATTTGACAATAGTCAGGAAATTTTTCCTGAGAGAAAAAAAGCCCAGAAGGTGAGTCACATTCAACGTGGCCCTTCTGACTGAGGATAAAATCTTAACCATAGCATAAGGAGTTAAGAACCAAACAGAATGTGAAGAATTTGCCGTTCAGAGCTGCTGAAGCAGCTGGGACTGGCATGACACAGGGCCAGGGAAGAGGGGCCATCAGATGTATGATATTTTTTGCAGGGAGGGGAGTTGTCCTCATTCCCTTGACTAAAGATTAGGCTGCCTGTGTGCTGGCTAAGACTCTATGAAGAGCAGAGAGTAAAATGAAGGTAATACTAACTGTCAAACAGTGCTGGGAGATGTTGGATTTTCAGCCTGGGCAGAGTGGAGTGACATTGCTAAAACCCCAGACATTCAGCTGAGACCAGAAAGACTAATCCTAGGAAGAAGGCTCAAGCTCTAGGGTTAAGAGACACTCTTACCACCTCTGTTCCCTACCCCAAGGCCTAAAACAGCAACAAGAGGATGACGGAAGGTTGCCATTAAATTAATTGCCTTCCAATACAAAATGCAATACTCTGTAAAGGGTTAAAACATAGAGGAAGGAGCTAATGCAGATAAGGGTAGAAATCAATGAGATAGAAAAAAAATTTAAAAAATTAAAGTCCAGAATTTAGTTCTTTAAAAGGACTAATAACATTAATAACCACTAGTAAGACTAATCTAGGACAAAAACTATTTCCATCAATATTAGGGATGAAGGGAGATATGATTAGTCATACAGAATATAAAATGATATTTTGAAATATTATGAAATTTATGTCAACAGATTTGGAAATTTAGATGAAATGGACAATTTCCCTGAAAAGGGCAACTCAGCAAAATTGAGGGGAGAAATAATAGAAAATCTTCATCACTTGAAATCTGTTTAAGAAATTGAACTTCTAAACAACTACATTCCCATGCCAGGTTTAGATGTTTTCACACTTTACCTATTGAGAGATATTATGGTTGTTTCCGATTTAGCTATTAAAAATAAATAATGTTTCTATGAACATTCATATACAGTTGTTATGTGGATATAATTTTTACTTTCTCTGGAATGCATGTCTAGGAATATGTTTGCCAGGTCATATGGTAAGTATGAGTTTATTTATTTATTATTTTTAAAATGTTATTTACATTCAACTTAGTTAACATATACTGTATCACTAGTTTCTGGAGTAGAGTTTAGTGATTCATCAGTTGCATGTAACACCCAGTGCTCATCACATCACATGTCCTCCTTAGTCCCCATCCCCCAGTGACCCCATTCCCCCACCCACCTCCCCTCCAGCAGCCCTCAGTTTGTTTAATTACTAAACTGTTTTTTGGAGTAGCCTACTATTTAACATGTCCACTGTCAATGTATGAGAAATAAAGAGCGCATTTTTGACACCACTTGGTGTTATCACAATTTTTTTTTTAAATTTTAGCCATTGTGATAGATAGATAATGATTTTCTTATGTAACTTTGATTTGCATTTTCCTAATGACCAGTGATGTTGAACGTATTTTCTTGTGCTTGTCATCTTCTGTGAAAAATTTTTTAATATCTTTTACCCATTTTCTAATTGGATTGATTGTTTTTCTATTGTTGATTTCTTAGCAATCATATATTCTAAATACAAGTCCTTTGCTAGATATGTGATTTGCCAATATTTATTTCAACTATAATTTATCTTTTTATCCTCTTCTTAAGGTATGTCATTGATCAGAAGCTTTTAAATTTGATGAGGATTAATTTATAAACTTTCCCTTTTATGAATGTTTGTTTAATTATCAAATCTAAGAATTCCTTATATCTTTAGTTCTTAAAGATTCTGTTCTTTTTCCTAAAATTCTTATAGTTTTATTTATACTTAATTGTATGTTCACTTTGATATAACTTTGTATAGGGTTTGAGATTTGAATTCATTTTCATTGTTTTGACTGAGGATGTGTGTTTTTTTTTCAACATCACTGATAGAAAAGGCTGTTCTACATTAAATTGCTCTTGCATCTTGGTTAGAAAGTCAGTGGGACATATTTTTGTGGTTTTATTTCTGGGTTCTTCATTCTGTTCAGTTCTTTTATGTGTCTATAATTCTGCCATTATCATGCTGTCTTCTCTAGTTTACTTGCATATTAAGCATTTATGTAAATAATAATGATTCCTCCAACTTTATTCTTATCTTCCAAGATTTTTAGATTATTGAAGATATTTTGTTTTTTCATATAGAATTTATTTATTTATTTATTTTTAAAATTTTATTTATTTATTTAATAGGGAGAGACACAAGTAAGCAGAGAGGCAGGCAGAGGGAGAGGGCGAAGCAGGCTCCCTGCCGAGCAGAGACCCTCCCCCACATGGGGCTCAATCCGAGGACCCAGAAATCATGACCTGAGCCGAAGGCAGAGGCTTAACCCACTGAGCCGCCCAGGCACCCTTTCATATAAATTTTAGACTAAACTGCTCTATGTTATACAAACAAACTTGCTAGGGTTGTGGTAGACATTATGTCAAACCTATGCATCGGTTTGGGGACAACTGACATCTTCACTATGTTGAGTCTTCCAATCCATGAATTCAGTGAGTCTCTCCATTTGTTTGGTCTTTCTTTACGTGTCTTTATTAGCATTTTGTAATTTTAACATTTGGATTCTGTACATCTTTTTTAGGCTTATACCAAAGTATTTCATTATCTTTGATGCATTTGTAGATAGTATTGTATTTTAAGTTTTATAGGCTTGTTATTATCTAGAAATGCATTGTGTTTTAATCTCATGTCCTACAAACTTGCTGAAGTTACATATTAATTCTGTGATAATTTTTTTGTGTGTTTCTTTTGGTAGAGTCTTTGAGATTTTCTACATAGACTTGTCATTTACAAATACGAACATTTTTCTTTTTTTTTTATTTTCAATCTGTGTGCTTCTATTCTTTGTTTTGCCTTTCTATGCTTGCTACAACTTACAGTACCGTGTTGAATCACAATAGTGAGAACAGACACCCTCATTTCTTCCCAATTTTAAGGATAAATTATTTACTCTTTTACCATTTAGGACAATGTTAGTTGTACGGTTGTTTTTAAACATACTTTTTATAAAGTTGAGGACAATCTCCATTTCTAGTTTGCTAAGATCTTTTTTTAATATCAAAATGTGTGTGTTTAAGTATATCAAATGCTTTTTCTGCCTCAGTTGATAAGATCACATAAATCTTTTTCAGCCTATTGATATGATGTATTGCACCTATTGATGTTCAAATATTTAAAACAATATTGCATATCTAGTAAAGTTACAGCTTGTTCCTGATATATAATTCTTTTTATTCATGACTGAGTTTATTTGCTAACAATTTTTTGGTTTTGTGATTGTCATCAAATTTTGTGAGAAATATTGGTCTGTGAGTTTGTGGCCTTTTTTTTTTTTTTTTTTTTTTTTTTTAAGATTTTATTTATTTGAGAGAGAGAGAGAGAGATCACAAGTAGGCAGAGAGGCAGGCAGAGAGAGAGAGGGAAGCAGGCTCCCAGCTGAGCAGAGAGCCCGATGTGGGGCTCGATCCCAGGACCCTGAGATCATGACCCGAGCCGAAGGCAGAGGCTTTAACCCACTGAGCCACCCAGGCGCCCCTGTGGCCTTTTTTTGTACTGTCTTTGTCTAAGTTTTGTATTGGGCTCTTAAATTAAGCTAGGAAGTATTACCTTCTCTTCTATTTTCTGGAAGAAGTTGTGTAAAGTACATGGTAATTCTTAAGATATTTGGTAAAATTCTTCCTTGAAGTCACTGGGGATTTATGTGTGGGGGGGAGGAGATTTTTAATTACCAGTTAAGTTTATTTAATAGTTATAGGACTATCTTATTTATCTGTTTTATATGTATTGTTTTGGTGGTTTGTGGTTTTTAAGGAATTGGTCCATTCCATCGCAGGTGCGGAGTTTAGGGGTATAATTTTTTCATGGTCTTTATTATCCTTTTAATGACTACAGGAGTATTCTTTTTCTGACATCAATGATTGCTGTCTTCTCTCTTCTTAACCTTGTCAGTCCAGATAGAGATTTTTTCAGTGTATTGAATTTATCAAAGAACCAGCTTTTTCT